TAGGTATTCAAGCAGCATAAAGAATCCCAGACTGCTCCATATGCTTAGCACGAGAATTCCATACTCAGGCCATTGCTACCCAAAGCAGCTACTGAAACCTCAAACTACTACCTCTTGAAAACAATTACAATGCGCAGACAATTCACAGGCTTGGAATGCTCTTTGCCTCATAATTTACTGGCTCTTCCTGCAAATGGAAATGTGTGGCATTGATTTGCTCCAGGCTAAAAATATTCCAGTCTCAAAAGAGGATTTGATGGTTACCTTGCATTAGTCATGGGAGTTTACAGGCTTCAGAACACTGTGCTGTAAATCTATGGCGACAAAAAATGCATTCTGATAGGCCTGCATGAGAATGAAGTCACAATCCTTCACACAGTTTCATAAAAAAAACCCTGTATTTTTAAATTTACTTATCCTAAATCTAAAGCAAAAGGAAAATGATCTTGTCCCAGAAAAAGTGTATGATTGAGGAACACTTTTGAAATGAACCAGCATAAAAATTAATTGCTAGAGTAGAAGCTTTGAGAATACAGTTCATGCATTTTTATTACATCTTTTTGTATCATCGTTTCCAATGTACACCGAATGGAAATGAGATGAGATTTTATGTTTATCCTATTTTCTCTTGTAGGTAAAATATATTGAAAATAATTGCAACTAACATTATTAAACACACACAGGAAAGGAATATGGAGGATATAGAAATAATTTCTCACAGATAAAATTTGTGAACACCAAACCAAAAAGATGTTCTCAATGTCACAGACCACATCTATGTCATGGAATCTAATGACATGCCTACACTTCTTTCACTGTCACACACAGGCATACTTTCACCATTGAAATATATCCATGATTTGAGAAACACACGCAAGGAACAAGCAAAGAGGAAATACCCAGTACTGAGTCATTTGGGAAACTGTATAAGATTCTTGCATGCTTGTTAGTTGATATATATAATATGACACCAGTTTATATTTTCAGCAGAGCTGTTGATTTTGGTTTGCTTTTGCATCTGGTAACAGAAGAGTTAAAAGGAGTTTAAAAGGAAAAAAAAACACACCACATTCTCTTTTGTTTAAGTTTCTTGTGCTTCTCCTTTATCTCTAGACTTTGTGGTCCTTTACACATATGTGTGTTATTTCTCTTCAAAGCAGCATATTTGATCAGTCTCAAGTTTATAGTGTGGTGTCTTGCAAGCATTTTAGTTGACTTGTCTGTGACACTCACTCTACCTCCTTCCTGTGAGCTCTTAATTAGAAGCTGGGATCTGCCATCATCCTCGCACAGTGAAAGAAGTTTCTTGAGGAAGAGAACTCTCACTGCACTAGGAGAAGCCCCAGCTTCTGTAGTGCTGAAGTTTTCAGTTGAATTAGTCCTAAATCAATTATTATTTGTGAAAACAACCAAAACCCTGCTACCCATTAGCAAACACAGACATAAAAAAAGGATGGCCTGGTCAGCTGCAGTACAAACTGTTAACTGGGAGTGAGAAAAGCTAATGAGTGTTTAATGAGTATCAGTGAAAAAATTACAGCTCACCTCTACATGTCAAAAGCTGATTACCTTTAAAGTATTCCAAGTGAAAATATCATACTAAAAATGAGCATTTTCTTTGATATTTCTATTCATTTTGCATAAGCAGAATCCACATTTATGAATGTCAGAAATACTTCTTACAAAGTGCTATTGACACTATGTAACCAATTTCAGGGCACCTATTGCTTCTATAAAAGGATCCTTTGTATCCAACCCTAAAAAAATCCAACTTCTTTGAAAATAGGTTTGATGGTTTGTGTATTGTTACTGTGGGTTTCAAATACAGCATATCTCACTAGTTGCTGACAACCCACAACACTTTGGGAAGGCTTTTGACACAATAAATAAATAAATAATAGAAAGGTTAGGGTTGGAAGGGACCTTAAAGATCATCCAGATTCAACCCCCATGTGTGGGCAGGGACACCTGTACAACATGAAGTCTGGTAGATTAGAAACAGAAAGTGAGTGTTTTGAGCTAAGAATGGAAACAGTGCCAGGAACAATTAACAATAATTAATAATAACCTACACCTTTGTTTTTAATTTAACCAAGATACTTTTTAGTTCAACTGAATTTATTTGAAGTCTTTCCTGATACTTCATGGTACATCCTATGAACAAGCATGCCATATTTGATGTCTTGTTCACATTGCCAGACTTTTCCTGTACGCTTTGAACACCTATATGAGGACCAAGCTCAAAACCAAACCCACATGCCACCTGAATTAGTTGCTACATGAATGCCTTTGGGAGTACCTCTGACCAACTAACCACACTTCCCACAGCTGAGGATCTAATATAACATTGTCTTTAAAGCTCACTCAACATATCAGACATTTTTCCATCATGTGAATGTGCCTCAATGTGCTGTGTGGAGCTCAGTAGCTTCCATCTATGCCATCTGCTTTTCATGATGATGTGACAACTCAGGCTGTGCACACAGTGTCCTTGAATACATTGAAATAAAAGTGAGGCAGGAAGCAAAACTGATCATCCCCACTCCTTAAGAGATGTAACATTCCACATTTTGTTTAGCTCCTTAGTCATGATTTCTTTGGTTATTAGGATGCTGAATATTCCTGTAAAATTTTTGAGTTTGAGAAATCATTGTCTTAGATCATTTATGCAACTTCTGTAGCTAAAGAAGAAAGTGTTTTTTTATTCTAGTAAAACACATCTGGTAGACAATCACTCCAGAAGCATGACCAGAACACAGTTAGGGCAGACATAATACAATACTAGAACACAACTAGTTTGCAAACTGTTGCTTACTTGAGGGTAGAAAAGTTGAAAGGTTTTCAGATACTGGCTTCTGGGCTTTTGCTGGTTGGAGTTGAGATTCTCTGAAGTCTTTCTTCTCTTGATTGGGTGCTGCAGATGTTCCCATAGGCTCTTCCCGGCCATCTAAAACAGTGATATGTGAATTCTCTCACTAGCTACAAATTGTTTGCTTTTTCTTGTTTGGAAGCTTTCCATACGTTCAGTGGCAAACACTAATAACAAATCTCCCAACAGTTCAACATGGTGAACACCAAAATCTCTTCTCTATGTCTTGCACAGCCACTAGTAATTACTAGCTTTTATGGTTAGCCTCATGCCACAAACAGTGGAAAATACCTGTCATACCAATAAAAGTCCATTTACTGTTTTGAAAATCTAATTAAGAATTTAGTATTGATGTATGAATAAAATGATTTGTCAAAATCTAGTAGAGATAAGCTTCTCCACCCTCTTTGATGTTTCTTTAAGAGTGGAAATGCTAAAATGAAAACTGCTAGAGGCCCTTTCTGATAATATGAAGTGGCAAACAGGCAATTTTGGTTGCTCTCATAGAAAATATTAGCTCCTTTTATCTTCCTTTTACTGAATAACAAAGATTCAGGAGAACTCAAGCCTGTAATAAAGTAACATCATTTAGATTTGTTTTAATGGCATCAGTAAGTCCTGCTTTGTTGAGAATTTCCATTGAAAACCCTGCTCTTTCAAAGGGGAACAAAGGAAAATGCTTTCCTCATTTCTACAAGGACTCAGTGACCAAAATACTGTTGACCTCTTGTTGCAAGTAGGGTCTGAATGGCAAGCATGCCAATACAGTGACTTTCACAATGCTTCTGTATGTCTCAGTCAGAATATAGGTAGAAAAAATAATAGTCAGACTGGTTGTAAGTTTTGATACTTTCCCTTTGCTGGTCAAATCATTCAGGATGACCCTCGTGTCTGACAAAAATCTGACCAGATTCTCAATTTCAAACCAATGACCAGTTTAACTAATTTTCCTGAGATGTTTCATTTTTTTGACCTCTGTGACTTTTTAAATCCACCAGATAAGAATACAAGTACTATAATTCCACTGTTTTCTGAAGTTATAATCCCAGTCAGTTCACTATGTTTGGCAAGCAATTGTTCATCAAACTAAAAATTTTACCCTCCTGAAGAAGAAGAGATAAGCAGACAATATAGTGACAGTGACCCAGAGTGTGCTGAGAGGTAATTTTTAAGTCCTGGCTAGTGAGGGAGCTTTCTGACTGCAATAGCTCTCAAATCTGACTATGGGACAGAAGAACCACATAACCACTATACTAGTAGGAGAAATACAATGTAATTTGCACCTTTAAAAGAGAAAATTAACACAGCCAAGCAAGCCCTCTCTA